AGGCTTACTAGGAACAGTGCTGGCGCAGACAGGAAACGCACAGGTAAACACTACTGACAACTGTGACGAGTAACACAAAACCCACCAACCAAAATGTTAAACATCCTTTCTGCACGGCTCCTTTTCAGAGGGCAGAGCAGAGGTGAACGGTCACAGCAGCAGATCGTCTCGCAGGGAGAGACGCCACCGCCGCGACTCTGACAGAGCCACATCCCAGGGCTCCGACAGGGAAGAGGAAGTGACGGTTCGCAGGTCACTCAAGAGAAAGACGGCGAGGGCGGCTGTGAATAAGATCAAACTCCTCGAAGCGTCAGATGAAGACTACGAGGAGGAGGAGGAAGAGGAGGAGAAGCCAAGAAGGAGCAGCAGTCGCCTCCGCCACACAGTCCGGGCCAGCAAGCGCACCGCTGTGATCCAGAGCAGCTCAGATACTGACGAAGAGCCTTCAACAAGGGGTAGGCAGATGCTCCCCTTAGAACTTTAGCATTCAGTTCACATTTTAACCATCACATTTAACGTCACAAGAGCAGGATACTCGCAGAATATTCAGTTACATTGCTCTCAGATGCAACTTTTAAAGAGTCCTTTTACTTCCTTCAAATACCTGTAAAACCTATTTGCATTTTTATGTTTCAGGCAGCTTACAGGATAGATTTTTGCTCAATTCAGCCCTTGTTTCTCTTTCTAGCTTCTCGGAAAAAAAAGGTATCAGGTGGCGAATCCAAGGATGAGGAGGATGGCAATGAGAGTGATGCTTCATCCTCCTCCCAGAATCAGCAGAATGGGGACACGAGGTCCAGCGAACGGAGGACATCAAGACAAGCTGCTAAGACCAAGGGAAATGGTGAGAAATGTCCTCATCAATCAGTTCAGTTTTTGATTTCTAGTTGCCACTTGATTGGAATTGTGATGAAAGTTTTGCTAATCAGGGGGATTTATTTATTTTTCTCCTGCAGATACTTTGTCCCATGTGAATGGACACAGTGCAAAACATCACAAGCCTGACAGCAACTCCGAGCAAGAGGAAGCTGCAGAGGAGAGTTCTGGAGAAGCGGAAGAAGAGGAGGAGGAAGAGGAGGAGGAGGAGGAACAGGAGGTTGTGTTTAAGAAACCCTCTAGAAGCACCGCAACCACTCCAGCCAGGAAAAAGAGGATCACAAGTGAGGAGGAAGAGGAGGAAGAGGTAGAGGACACTGAACGCAGGACCACACGACACAAACCTCGTGTAAGCTCAGATGAAGAGGACAGAGACCACGCGTCTCATAAACACCCACACCAAAATGGAAGAAATGTGGAGGAAGCCATCCACAAGGACTCTAAGAAAAATAGTAAAGTTTCACCATCAAAAAGCCAAGATAAACAAAAATCTGCCTCAACTAATAAACTGGATGGTGCAGAATCGGAGGAACTCAATGATTCTCCAAAGAGATCCAGCCCACGCAAGAAAAAACTGAAAAAAGATGAAGAACCTGATGTGGAAAGCAATCACTCCAGTGCGGAATTTGAGGTTGAAACCAAGTCAAAGAGGCCAACGAGAAACAAGAGTAAATCGAAACGGCCTCATGGCGACACTTCAGCTTCAGAGAGTTCCGAGCAGGAATACAAACCCAAGAGGAAGTCGAGGAGGAAACGCTCCACTGGCTCATCAGACGAAGAGTCGGACAGTTCAGGCAACACTTCAAAAAGACGGCTGAGCCTCCGAGCCCTACCAAAAAAGAAATACATCAGTGACAACTCTCTCTCTGAGGAAGACTCTGCCTCGGCGAGCCAGGGTAAACAAAGGAATGGTAACAAAACAGCCACAGCGTCCAGGGAAGACAGGAATAATAAGAGAGAGTCTAACAGAACCTCCCCCAATGAAGCCAGGAATCAGCTGTCTTCCAAGAGAAAACGTATTTACACCTCAGACTCTGAAGATGCGAAGGAGGGTGCACAAAAGGAGCCAGTGTCCAAGAACCGTAAGAACAGCCGGCCGGACTCCTCAAAGCGTCCCAAAAGGGAATCCAAACAAGCAGATGGTAACCGCAACGAGGAAGTCACCTCTTCCCAATCTGATTCCAGCGAGGAGGAGGAGGAGGAGGAGGAGGAAGAGGAGGAAGATGTCAGTCGTTCGAGGAGCGGGAAGAAGAACTCGAGGCGGCCAAAACACAAACGGAAGGAAAGCTACAGCAGCAGCAATCATAGTTCTGACTCAGAAAGCGAGCAGTCGGCTCCGGCCTCCGATAACTCCAGCTCAGGGTCCCACAGCAGTCCAAAGAGGAGAAGTCATAGACGGTCTGGGATTGGTGAAAGGACTGCCAGCCGCCAGCTAAGGCAGCGCCGCCGCCAGTCTGCCTCAGAGGAGGAGAACGAGGAGGACAGTGACGAGTCGTACAGCAAACCTCAGCGAAAGACGCGCGTGAACACCCGTAATCGGGGGAAGCGGACAGTTACTTATCACGACAGCGAATAAAGGACGTTTGCGGCTGGAACTACAGAGATTGACATTAACTGGAGACCTTAAAGACACTTGATGGCCACGTTATGGTAGTAGCACTGGAGTCCTCGAGAGAAAATGCTGTGAATCTGTTTCATTCAGGGATATTTATATTTTCTATGAAAAACATGTTTATAGATGTAATACAAATTCAAGCATTTGAACTGCTGGTTTTTCGCAAGGATACAGAGCAAAATACCACCTCCCATACTGCTTGTTGTGATTTGGCCAGCAGAGTAACCATTCTGGGGAATCTTGTCAGCTTGGGTGCTATCTAATATACCTCTGTTTAATCAAGCATATTGCTGGCTTGCACTAAGATACACTGTAATGAGGTATTTCATACACTAGTTTTGCATTAGAAACTCAGGGGTCAACTAAGTTTACTGTAGTCTCAGACATGCAGTTGTTTTTTGAGCTAAGGTAAGGACAAGAAACAATTCCAGGTCAGCAGATGTCCAAGCACACTCACTGGGACAAAACAAATCCATGTTCAGACTTTTGACTACAGCACTCCTTTGTAAATCCACACACTTAATGCTTGACTGTATTCTGAGTTGATATGAGCCAAATGGACGAATATGAATTCTTTTCCCCACACCATTTCATTTTCTATAATTAGTTTTGTGTTGTATTTTAGTGAATAGATGTAAATATATGATTAAGAATGACAGTGTCTGAAAGCTTTGGCGATCAGTCAGTAGCAAAACGTTTATTTAAATTTGAGCTTTTTTTTTTATTTTCCTTTCTCTTTTTTTTTTTTTTTTTTTTTGTTTTTTTTTTTACATTTAACTGTATTGTCTTGCCATATGTCACAAATTGGTACCTTTTTGCCAAGTACAAGTAACCAAAAGTACTTATTGCAAAATACTGTGATTTCTCATATTGGGAAGACTTTTTATTGTTGTCCTGTGTTACCTACTTTCAGTATTAAATTCTTTTTCAGAGTTGACGTAAAACATTTTGCCAGTCACATGGTTTAGTTTTGTTTATGGGGAGGTTTCTAAATACAGTCGCTTTATGAAATTTTGCTTAATGTTTTTCGTACTACACCTTTAATAACAGATTTCACAGGAAAACTATTAACGCAATGTGGTTGTGGAGTGCAATGAATTGAGTTATTCCTCCTATTAATAAAGACATCATTTCAAGGTCTGTTCTGTGATTGATTTCATTTTAATCTATTGACATGAGCTTAATCTGTCTCATAATTCTATAAAGTCTATACAGTAGGTCTCTAAACTGATCTATTACTCTCTCCATACTGGGCTCCTGTAAGCATCAGGGTTCTTATGTAGTCGAACCATCACTCACAAAAGCTTAGTGCAGACTAAATGCTGCTCCGTCTTAAAACCAGAATCTACTAAAAAGTAACTTGGATTATACCGTAATTAGATTGTCTTGCTCAGTATAATTATTGCCGGTATAAGTGTAACAGACTGTAAGAAATACAATAGATTTACATGATTTATGAATGGGACTTCATCCTGGCTTGCACAGAACTAATATTTTGACATAGTCCAAGTCCAGTTCAGAAAATATTGTGTTTCTGCTTCCAAGGAGTTTATATCAAGAGTCAAAAGAATAGTTCACTGTTTGAGAAATGTGCTTACAGGGAGTAAGCGAATGACTATTATTTCCAATTCTCCTTTTTTAAGACCATTTACCTAGACACTAATAAATGAATTGAATATAGAGACAATAATGTCACTTAAGGATTTGATACATGTAGTTTGGTAATCTTTGAATGTTTCATTGCCAGACACCCATTAAAATGAAAATTAAACAATATACCTGCAATACAAAACCATTTATTTCTTGATAAATCATCTCTCATCATCACCAGATGATGTAACGACTAACGATTAACTATTTGCTTTCTTTGTTGCCTTTATTTATGATATCGGGATTATTTGCTCATTTGTTATGCACATATGTTGTATACTTAAATATACAACATAACTATTCAGGTACAGATGAGTTTTACTCTATTCGATGTTGGTACACGACATTAACCTGCTTTTATTGTGAAGGGGCTTCCGTGTGACGACATCACGTAACTTGTTTTCGGTAGCGTGTCGCACTTTCGACATATTTCATTTAAAAAGGTTTTAATTAATCTTTTAAGGCAACATTATAAAATAGCAGCACATTTTCGAATAATATACACAGTGCCATAGATTATTATTGCTATAAAGGTACGTATTTATGTATTTATATGTTCTTATTTTTTCACGAAAATACCGCCTGCTGCTGTCATTGAGTCAGCTTAGATAGCGAGCTAACATGTGAGCAGAGCAGTGTATTAGATAGACACATATATATACATCCTGTTACCTGAAGAGAAACCTTTTTAATATATTAACGTTATTTACATTAGTTATTTAGATTGTCCGACTTTTGCAAACAGGCTAACATTGAAGCTAAAGTTTAGCATGTCCTCTGTCAGCCACTGTCAACACTACAAGCTTCAGTAGACCAGTGCTTACAACAGCAACAACAACAACAACAGATTCAGGTCGAAATGTCTGCCTGTAAAAGGTTGCTTTACTTTGTGAAGCACAGAAACTTATGGACACAGGCTCGGAGAAATGTCACGACTTGGTCTCCGGTTGGAGCTGCTTTCAATGCCAAAACTCAGAGGCTGAACCTGTTCGAGAAAAACGTGGTTTGTATTAGTCCTAAATGTGTCTGCGTCTAAGTTAACTCACAACACTGCTGTATTAATGCACAGAAATTGAACTAGTTCGTGGTACAAAGCCTGTGTGTGTGTGTGTGTGACCTCTGTTTACAGGGTTTGTTTGGAGTACCAGAGCTGAGCTGTCCTGCAGGCTTCCAGGTTGCCACAAAGAAAGCTCTCAAAGACACAGAGCGCCTGCTGGAAAACGCTTGTTCTGGTCCTCCAGGGGTTGAGACAGTCCAGTCTTTTGACCAGCTCTCAGATGGGTTGTGCAAAGTGGCTGATCTGGTGAGTTCAACACCCAGGATGTACTAAAACCTTGTATTTCATTACTGTAATCGAGCTATCATTATTTCATGGGGTACCTGAGCTAGCCAGGTGATATTCAGCAAGTTATTATGCAGAAGAAGCTACCAGGTAGTTGTATTGGTGGGCAGCATCAGGGTTAGATGACTGGGATAGGATTAAATAGAATGGGACAGAACTTATTACTTACAAGTTTTATCACACAATCCTCAGTAATATATGAGCAAAGAAACAATGAAATCTCTCAGTATCGTGATATTTTAATGTTGTATGTTCATTATATTGATTTCATACAAAGGCTCCCTTACATATCTTCTTATTCACCAGAGTTGTTCTATATTGAAGGCGTTAACTCAGAAGGTGGAGGGGGTGTTTAACAGTAGACTGATTTAACTGCAGTATTATGCAGATCATCTAATGGTTTTTGTTGATGATCAACAATTTCCCCAGCTCTTCTAATGACCACGGTCAGGGTGCCATACCAGACTGAGATGCTAAACGCAAATATGCTCTCTGAAATGTAGTTTGTATTTTAGGTAAGGTTGCTGCATGTGTCTGCAGGTAAAACTGGTCGACGTGGGCTCCAAGGGTGCTATAATTGGATGTCTGTGACAACAGGATTACAGTGTCTGTCCACTTCTGACCAAAGCATCTAACACTGAAATTGTACTGCGACCGCAGACTCATGTATATCCTGCTAGTATATTCATATATATATATATGTATATATATATCTATATTGTTATTTTTTTTAATATATCCCTGTACATGTGCACGTTACTCTGCACTTTACTGCTTTGCACTTGCTTAACTGCATTTCGTTGTCTAGTACTTTGTGCAATGAGAATAAAATTGAATCTAATCTAATGTATTGTTCATTGTATGCTTCTTCTGTTCTCTGTAGAGAGTAAAGTGCAACTTTTTCTTCCTATAACAGGCAGACTTTATAAAAGTAGCACATCCAGATCCGGCATTTCGTGAGGCTGCGGAGAAGACCTGCATAGAAATTGGCACAGTTGTGGAGAAGTAAGAGGAAATGTATATTGATATTACCTTTACAAACACACGGAGCTTATGATCAAAAAGAAAACATGTTTTCATTGTGCTGCTTACAACAGTAAGATAATGCTGGTTTTTATCAGTTGAGACCAGTCTTGAGTAGATAGATGTTCAGGTTTGCTGTTTGTGTATTTCAGGTTGAACACTAACGTTGAGCTATGCCAAAGCCTAAAAAAACTACTGGACAACCCAGACATTGCAGCTCAGCTGGACCCCGATACGAGGTAATTTATTATATGTAGGCTCTTTGCATCTAAAGTAGGTGTTGAGGCTGCTGTGGATATATTACATATTTGATGTGATTATATCAGTAATTAATAATATCATGTCCAATGATGGTAAATTATTGATGTATTTCTGCCTTTCCAGACGAGTGGCAGAGTTGTTCATGTTTGACTTTGAAATCAGTGGAATTCATCTGGATGAGAAACTGGTGAGACGGTCGTGGTGTGTGGTTGCCTGTGAAAAATGAATGTAAACAGACAAGTTATCAATAATACATTAAGACCTCTCTCCTGTACGGTATTTACTGAACTTGCTGCTGCTCTCTCTGCAGAGGAAAGAGGCAGTTGCACTTCATGTGAAGCTGTTGGATCTCAACAATGAGTTTCTGGTCAGCTCTCACCTGCCCAACAGAATTGCGAGGTCTGCGATTCCTGAACATCTACACCTGCACTTTGCAAGTGAAGGAAGCTTTGTCCAAGTTGGGGGATTACATGCAGATTCTCCTAATGACTTGGTATGTATTTTATTTGGTCTGAGTCACTGGAGCGTTTCTCCTATTTGCTCAGCAGGTGGTGCCATTGCCATGTGACAGATCATAGGGCTGGACGTAAGAGCAGGTTGAAGATTATAGTAACCTATTCTGTCTGATCAGTTGTCAGATTCTCTTTCATAACACTGAAAAAGTGTTTTTGAGAGAATTTTTGTTATTGAAATATTGTCTCCAGCCTCTTTTGCAAATCTTTTCTTTCTCAATAATAACTTTAAGTAATGATTTTGATATTTCTGTCACTTTTAGCCCTTTTATGTTATATATTATATATATATATATTATATTATAAGAAAATAACATTTTCTATAACAATAACGTTAATATCATAATGGCAATGCAAAGGTAATTATTAGTGTTCTCTCAGGAATTAAGCAGTATGATACCACAGTGCAAGCTAAGCCACATAGAAAAGGATGGTTTACATTTATGTATGAAACATAACAATCTGACAATACAGATAAGGGTAAAGTCATCATTTTAGTCATCTGATCTTTCATTGATTAGCAGAATGTATTTTTCTTGTTTTACAACTTTTGTTAGGGTTGATATGTTGCTTTTTATTTATTTATGTTTTTTAATTATATTTTTGGGGGCTTTTTGCCTTTATTGGTTAGGATTGATATACAGGAAAGGGCGACAGAGAGTTAATGACAAGCAGCAGAGGGCCACAGGTCATATTTAAACCCATTTCCGCTGCAGCAAATGTTTTTCAAATGTCATAGATAGGTTGCGTCTGTCCTTCCACTTGTAGGTGAGAGAAATTGCCTACAGGATTTACCTCTACCCGAATGCAGATCTGATGGAGTGTCTGGAAGAGCTGCTGAAATGCAGATACAAACTGGCCAAACTAGTGGGCTACGAGTCCTACGGACACAGAGCTCTAAAGGGAACAATGGCCAAAACCCCAGGTTGATATGTCTCTTTGCTTAAGTATCAACATTGTTATCATTATTCAGTGCTGTAGCTGTATTTCTAACTGTTTGTTTGATGGAAGATTAATTTAATTCATATTTCAGTATTTACTTCACAATAATGGTTTAATATGCACCAGATAATTCTCATTTTAGAGGTTTAATACAAGCTACAGAAATGATTTTTTTCTAAGCTGCTTTTTCTGTGCCTTCGGCAGCTAGTCTCGCTTGATAGTTTTACATGATGCAACTTTATTCATTTTATTACTCTTTGCAGAGACGGTGATGAGCTTTCTTCAGTTGTTAACAGACAAGCTGTCAGACAGGTACAGTCACCTTTTAAAAGCTTTTATTGAAGATGTAAAATAATATGTACAAATCCAATATTCTGTTGGGCAATCTACGTTGACGGTTATTATCATGACTGTCGTTAAAGGTTCAGTGCTTCCCTTTATAGTTAACCATAAGTTAGTGGGACATTTAACACAGCATGATGCCCAAAAGTTCATATCTCCTGAACTTAAGTGACCCACAGATTTAATTACTCTTACAGCTGATTTGATTAGTTCTTGTCACGTTTCCACAGTTAATTCACACTCAGAAGTCAACAGGCTGTTTGTTGTTTGCATTTTCTTCCTTTTTTAATACACTTAATATTCTCTGTGCTGTGGATTCCTGAGACAGTCCAGAAACACACAAGTCAGGTGGACCAGAGACTCTAAAATACCCAAAGGTATGAATGTGAGCGTGGCAGCCTGTCCAGGGTGTTTCCCTGCTTTCAGCCAAATGCATGCTGGGATAGGCTCTGCCCCCCCTGTCGAGTCTAAGTACAGATAGGTGGGTAAAGACTGGAATGAATGCCTCAAGACAATTAGCTCATAAAATAACATGTTGTTATGTTTTTTGTTTTGATCTCACAGAACAGCCAAAGACTTTACGATGATGAGAAACATGAAGAAAAAACTCAACCCTCGTAATTCTGTGAGCAATTTCTTTTGTTTACAACATATTTTTTACATACAAGGATATTTTGCTCGACTACACAACTTTACAGTGTCTGCTGTTACTTAAAAAATATTACACATTTCCCTCAATCAGTGTGTAATCAGTATTAATTGCTTACAACTATCTGTTTAAGTGTAATTTGTTTCATATCACTCAGTCTGAGGAAAGGGGGTGTACAGACTTAAAAGCCTCTGAGGCGAATTTTAATTTGAGATATTGGGCTATATAAATAAAACTTGACGTGACATGTAAATAAACTGCCGGTGTGATTTTTATAGGAGCTCATGCCCTGGGATCATCCGTTCCTCAGTGGTGTCCTACGTGCTGAAAGGTGAGTAGCTGGCAGTTTTTCAGTCTGCTGTCATTTGATAAAGTCATTTTGATCAGTATCTTCGAGATGGTTTTAGATGTTTGTAATTTCATATTCCACCGAGGTGTACATTGTTGCTGGGTCCCAGCTCATCTTCAGGTGTCACATGTTACAAAAGGTGTGAAGGGGAGAAGCATGGGAGTTGTCTAAGTGTCCTTTCTGATTCAGGACAATACAATCTGGTATGACTGACCCCTCTTGCGTCAGCCTGTTGGTTTTCTCTTTGTGTGTGTTTATTGTAGTGGCAATTTATGTGATGTGTTTTAGGCCTTTGAGTTCTCCCCCTTAAACATTTGACACGTGGCTACATTATTGTGGCAAAATTGTTGCTCCTGAACATAAAGAACTGCACAATTTTTCTTATCTGTTTCTCAGGCTGTGACGTGATGGTGTTCTTGCTCCATGTGATTGGGATCAATGAGATTTTGCTTTTTTCCTTCCTAATTTGAATAATCTTTCAATTGTTGAAAAATGCCAAACGTTAGATATTTACTGCTTCTTAAAAGGTAGTCATGCTGCTCTTCTCTGTATTATAACTCTGTAAATGGAAGATATTTGACTGATTCTGAACAAAAGGAAAAAAACTGACATTTGGAAAATTGTGATTTTCACACTTTTCTGGCATCTTACTGACTAAACATTTAATCAAAACAGATTATTCAATAAGAAATCATTAGTTGCAACCGTTACCAACAGCTGCTTTTATGTTGTAATAATTTACAGCAGCTTTGATGTTGTTATTGAACCTTTTTTTTTTGGCATAGCGATAGAGAAGAGATCGTAGAGAGCGATGGGAAACAACATGCAACAGAGATCCCAGCCGAACACAAACCGGGTTGCCGTACATGGTCTGCGCCTCCACCTTGAGGCCACCAGGGCGTCCCTTTACTCGTCTCTCATTTCAATCTCATCATCTTTGTCCTTCAGCAACTTTCAAAATTCAAGCTGCCATGTTCTAAGTTTAGCTGCTATTAGTCCAATTTTACACATACCTGTTCTTAATGAACTGCACTCTCCCTTCCCAGCACTCGCCAGAGACTAATAACATGACGGGCCAAACTTTCTGGAGAAGTTTAAAGTAAATCTTTATTGCAGACATTATAGATCGCTCATGTGTCCTTTGGATTTAAGCGGCCACCAGATTGTGTGTTACCATGTGTCGTCAACTGTTCCCAGAGCTTCTGAGGAGGAGTGCGTCTGTTAGCTTGTCTTCCTCTCTCTCATGCTGCCTCAAGTCTCTGGTCTTCTCCTGTTAGTGGTTTGGGGCTCGGCTAGTTGGCAGGAGATCCCTAAAGAAATTTAGGATGCAGTCTGATTGCATTAAAGAGCGGTTTCCCAAGAACCGCTTCTGTTCAAGTTTACACACATAAACACACACACACACACACGTAGACCCTAAAGCTGTTAATCTCCCTTACAAACACATTACTCACTATGTCATGCTTTTTCTTCAATCACTCACTCAATCATTTTGTCTTTATCTCTACTTTTCCATCAGTAACTGTTTAAACTGGAAAGTGTTCAAACCATATTGAAATGAGCTACAGTGTGTGTGTGTGTGTGTGTGTGTGTTTATATGTGTGTGGTAAACAGAGCTGTGCTCAGCAGTAGTCTGTTATTCATCACTGATAATACTCTAGATGTGGTGTTCAAGCTAAACAAGCGTTTTTGGTTTGGTGGCATGAATGCATCCATTTCAAGCATGGGTGGCCCTGGGACAGCGTCGACCCTCCCTTGCCCTGAGCTCTGGCAGTCTTGTGTCTTTGTCCGACCAATTGATCATGGTCGGGGGATTTTTAGCCACTGCTAAACTGCTTGCTGGCTCACTACACAACATTTACAGAAATAATGCAGTTTAAATAGGGTGGTCATTGTCATGCCTCACAGTTAACTGTGTGTGCATTAGTTCTGTAATAAGAGGGGCTTTTTGGGACTTTTAGGCTCTGTCTGGTTTTGTTTTAAATAGTTTGACGCTCTCCTCCATCCACTAAATCCTGAGTCATACAAGGCTTTGAACATTAATATTTTTTAGGTTGGAGATTGAACAACTTCCCCTGAGGGACAAAGCACACCCTGCATTACCTAGCAATCATCATTCAAAACCTTAATTTATTTGTTCTGGTTTATATTTTTCTTATGGCAGGTACAACATAGAGCCCAGTCTGTACAGTCCGTATTTGTCTCTGGGCGCCTGTATGGAGGGTTTGAACAATCTCTTCTCTCAGCTGTACGGCGTGTCCCTCATGTCCGAACACCCCACTGCTGGAGAGGTCTGGAGCCAGGATGTCCGCAAACTGGTAAATATCATTAATAGGGCAAAATGTGTGGGAGTGTGTCAGTGCCTGTAATGTGACTGGTGTATGTTTTTGGTTGAAATCTGTTTAATGTGCTACGTTCCAAGTTTAAATACTGTGTGTGTGTTTCAATTTATGCTTGTCTGTGTGTGTGTGTGTGTGTGTGTGTGTGTGTGTCCAGGCTGTTGTACATGAGACAGAGGGATTATTGGGATACATCTACTGTGACTTTTTCCACCGGCAAGATAAACCTCATCAGGTGTGTATACAGGCACTCATCTACATATAGTAGTTTTTACAGCTGTTCCTCTGAAAATAAGGCTCTTCTCCGTATTTTGTTTCTTTGCTCATCTCCTTTCTATCTGCACACTTATCACTTATTCTCAGTTCAGTTTTCAGATCAAATATTCTTTTTTGGCATAACAACATCAAACAGAATAAAAGTCCACTTACTTTGTTACTGATGTACTGCAATATGGAATCGGTCTCACCACCTCCTCCTCCTCCCCCCCCAGGACTGTCACTTCACCATCCGTGGCGGCCGCTGGTGCCAGGAAACGGGTCAGTACCAGCTTCCAGTTGTGGTGCTGATGCTGAGTCTGCCCCACCCCACCAAGAGCGCCCCCACCCTGCTCACTCCGGGCATGATGGAGAACCTCTTCCACGAGATGGGACACGCCATGCACTCTATGCTAGGGCGCACTCGCTACCAGCATGTGACAGGTGAGGTGAGGTGAGGTGAGGTGAGCTGAGGCGAAGTGTGAGCAGATTTACCGAGAAGTTACAAATCACCAAAAGCCACAATGACCTAATGGAGCCAGGATTGTACACATTGTATCATTCAGTAGCTGTTACTCACACTCTTTAGCTGGCGAAGGATTTAGCATTAAATAATAACAATTCACAAAGGTTATGTGAGGTGATCGATGTTTGACATTTAATGAGCTCTGTATCTTAAAGTGATGGCTATGCAGTTCCCAAATGTCACAAGCTAGAATTATGTTGTTAGATTCGGTAGAGCTGTAGGTTATTCATTACAGTGTGGCGAATTGAAAATAGAGGGTAAATCCGATTAAGTGTAAGCCCCGAGGAGTACTTTAGATTATCCTTGGCTACCAAAGCTGCCATTTGATACTGTTTCACTTGTCAGATAAAGTTGATGGATATCTTCTCCAGTAATTCAAGATCCCCAACGTATTTATTTTACACTAATAACAGTATCCATTAACTCAACTTGAGGCTGCTTCTTTAGTGGACACCATGTTTACACCTGTTTAGACGTGCTGAAGCACACGACAGTTGCATTACCAGTAACGTAATGCTATCTTTACTACTTTTCATATCAAATGTTGTACTTGATTTAAACATCTGTGGATGGTCAAGGAGGCGTACGGCCTTTACAGCTTAAAGGAATGAGCACATTGGAGTTGTGTGTCAGGTAAAAGGCCAATTCTGGTCAGGGTTTTTTTTATCTTTTTTGGAATATACATACATCTGATTTTCTCATTGCACCGCAAATCACTTGCATCATCATGAGAAGCACTGTTAGCAGGAATGGCGTGCTACAGAGTGAGCAACATGTCGTGCAGGTGCTGTGCATCGACCCATACTGGACGAATGAACAAAGCCCTACCTTCCTGTGTTTACAATTTTTTCTTCCTATGTCTAAGCTCTGACATCTCTCCTCTAGGAACCAGATGTGCGACTGACTTTGCTGAAGTCCCCTCCATCCTCATGGAGTACTTTGCCACTGACTATAGAGTCATCAGCCAGTTTGCACGCCATTATGAAACTGGACAGGTACATCTAAACCCTCAGAAAAAAAGACCAATATGAAAACTCAACTTGCACAAATAAACATTGTTCAGTGGTTGTTGGGAGATATTTTCCAATGCATTGTAATTATAGTAGTGTAATCTTATAAGATTGTGTCACATCAGCTGTTATCATTCCAACCTTTTCTGTCCATTTTGTATGGTGTGAGACAGCAGTTATTTAAAAAGTAAAACAATGTTTATTCTGTCTGTGTCATTGTCTACTCAGCCTCTGCCCGAGACTATGGTGGCTCGCCTGTGTGAGTCGAAGAAGGTGTGCGGCGCCGCAGACACACAACTACAGGTACAATGACCAACGTCTCACACACACAGTTATATCTAAAAGTATATTACACCTTTACAAGAACACAAAACTGCGGAAAACTGGGTTTACAAACTATCCTCAATTTCTTTAAGGATGAGAAATGTGAAACCAAAACAGAGTTTGTCAGATTTTGTAGATTATATCAGTGGTTCCCAACCTTTTTTTCTTAAGGGAGCCCACTTCTGTCATTGAGTACACTGACAACCCCTGACTAAGTTACATTTTTTATGGATATTTAATTTTCTGTTCAGTGCAGAAAACCCAAATTGTGCAATAACTGCAGAAGGTTTGTGTAAATTTGGACATATTTTGAGCAGATTATTTCCTGTCAATATTGCATCAAAGATGAGTAGTTTTACTGATATTTTTGGGAAATTTTTATGCAATTCTGTCTGTATTAGGTATTTTTAAAATATTTTTAATAATCATACATACTTAGGCTTCTTTTTTGACAAATTGTTTTCTTCTCTGTGGGATTACACATCCTAAATGAAAACTTTAAACTAAAGAGCCACCCATTAAAAACGATCTGAAGCATAATTATTCATCATTGTTCATCATTTGTTTGTCTCTGTTTCTGTGGATATGTCCAGACTGTGTTTATTTGCTTTTAACATTAAATTTGTATCTACAGGATTGATTCAGTAGAAACTATGTGTGTTTTATTTTTCCTGGGCAGATTTTCTATGCTGTCTTGGACCAGATATACCACGGCAAACCTCAGAACCGCTCCACCACAGACATCCTGAAGGACATGCAGCAGAAATTCTATGGCTTGCCTTACACGCCCAATACGGTACACCCCCGACTCCCTTTGTGCTATTTATTATTGCTATGCTATAAGATGCTGTGTTTGGCTTATTTTCCTTTGAGTAGCTTGTCTCTTTAATACAGTATTGTTAGATTCATGACAGTCTTTGGGTCACTAAAGTCTCTCTTCTCACTGCTCAGTTCATCATAGCACAGAGACAATGCAAACTGAGTAGTCCTTTGACATTCTTTTCCCTTTCTCCCTCTCTCTCTCCTTTCTCTCTTTCTTTCTAGTTTTATATCTTTTACCCAGGCACAGCAGTGTTTAAGGGATTAAAGCCTTTTTTTGAAGCCCTGCTAAAATAACAAAGCAGAAGTATACTTTGAATGAGCTCTCCCTGGGGGAAATATTTGAAACTCTTCCTCCCGGTCCTTTAATGAAAAAAGCTCCCTATTTCCCCCACTTTTGCAGCTGTGGGCGAGGGGATGAGCCCAGGAGGGAGACGGGAATCAAAAACATAGTCATAATTTAGCCGGGAATGGCCTTCATAGAGCTTTTACTCTGGGCTATAATTATGTGGGGTGCCATCAGGAATAGAGATTAAAGAACTGCCGTATATTCTCCCAAAACGTCAGTGTCCCGGCCAGCGTTTTCTCCCCACTGGAGTCCTCCCACTCCTCTTCTGCTTGCGCCCTGCTTTGTAGCTCCCTCTCCAGAGATTGTGGTTTATGTTATATAGTTTCCCACTGTCGCAGTCGCTCCCCTTCAAACGTTTTAAACCACACTGAAAGCTCTAGCAGACACTTTCGCCTCCGTGTGCACAGCTAACCACAGTAGGATCGTTTTCCTCATTTGAACTCCGCAGAAACTGAGGATGATTGCAGTGCTGAAGTTTCTTGAATTGGATCATCATTGGATCAGAGCAAGTGAAAACAGATTTGTTTAGATCCTTCAATGACAGACTTAGACTTGTTTCTTTTTAAAATTCGCCCTCTGCGTCTCCGTCTCTTTCACCCGTCCTCGTGGAAAAGTTTCCACAGTAAAGTGGACATTTGAGTGGCTAATAGGTTACGGAGAGCCACAGATTATAAACATTAGGGTGATACTGACATGTGTATAGTTTATAGAGCAGAGCTATCATTTCCCGCTGCGCGCTGAGAGAGAGGATCAGCTGTGAGTAACACGGACCACATGCTCACCCTTGAGCCGAAGATAATATTTGGAAATAAATGGCAGAAAGCGGGGCGTTCTGCTCGCTGTGTTGACATTTCTGTAATCTGCGATTCTTGGCCTGCATGTTTTAGGACCAAGTGGTTGCTCCTCTGTCTAATGAGCAGTGTTTTTAATGCAAACTCGAGCACACGTAATCCACATCCTCCTTTAAAAACTATTGAATGAACATCACAAGTTGAGTTTAGAAAGAACAAAAAAGTGTCTTTTATCTCACAAGAGGAGCAGAGTAAAAAAGCCTCTGCTGACTTTGTCTCCTTTATGTGTAAGGATCAAAAGGATATCTCGCTGACATGTCACCCACTTGCACTCTCTCACAAAAGCTGGCATTAATCATTTGATGTGTGGCAGAGCGATTGGAAACAAAGAGGAGGAAAGACTCAGACAGCAGACCAAACAGTTCTTCAATAGCTGCTTATTTGTTTCCACAATATGAGAAATTTAAAGCATTCAAAGAGTCTTCAAATGAAAGGCTGGCTTTCACATAGGATTAAAATAACAAAAAAAGCAAAAAACAGCTGTTCCTTCTTACTTTTTTATAATATATCAATTAATTTTGTTTTTATGCATCAGAATAGGTTTTGTCAGTGTCCCAACCTTTTCCTTCATATGAATGAACTCCAAACAGCTAAAACAGACTTCTAACCTATGACCCAAAGCACTGTATCACTGCTGCGTTCAGCTGACAAAGCAAGCTCGGCAACTTCAGCTTGTCTGTGCTTTGCTGAGCCAGAACTCCTCTCAGGAGTGCTATTTACTCTTATTAAAGTTACTGCAGCCCAGAAGAGTCTCGTCAAGTTGACACTTTGGAGCTTAAGCATTTTTAACGCTGTTGGATCACCCGGACCAGATCTGACCACAGGGCTCTCTCCCCACCACGGTGAAGATGAGCAGCCCCCCATTTTAAGCTCTCAAACAGCTGTTTCAAAAGTTTATAACACTTTGTCATCCAGTAACATAATATTAAAGGTATTTATATATCATGAAAGTGTTTGTAATATACAGATTTTAAGGTTTTTAGACCGGTCAGACCAGTTGACTTTGCTGTATTTTGATTTACATTATAAAGCATGTACTCTCTTCCTTTAAAATGGCATCTCAGTCTCAATGAGGCTTAACAGATTAAAGCTGCTCTAGTCAATATTTTTATACAAACAATAGATCACATGACTATGTAAAGTGAAAGGGGGTGTCGAACCCATGGAGGATTATCGCTCAACTCTTCTGTCCCCCTAAACTCTGTGGAACGTTTTAGTGTTTAATTTAAGTCATTGTTTTGGTTTTACGGCCCAAGATCCAGATATTTCATTAAATACAGGTTATATTTATAAATTCAGAGTAAATATTGGAGTTACATTCATCAGGTGACCACAAACAGGACTCAGAATAAATGCTAATGTTTCTTCATATCCACTTGATTTGTAAATAAAGTGTATATATTATATATATATATATTAGTATTAAGTTCACAGCTTGTTTCTATTGCCGTCAAGTGACCCAAAAATCAGTTCAAATAGAGGATTACCTACAATAAGTACCTACATTCTCATCATTAAATGTTTAGTTTTGGGCTGCAGAGATGAAAGTCACTTTAATCACTAAGGACAATAAACGTAGCAGGATTTTGTCTGGCATTGGTACTGAAGCTTTGTGCTTACTGTGAATAAACGCACTGCATAAGTTGTCAGCATCCTTTTGATTTGGATAATTATTTAATTTCATTCATTTCATGTAAATCATTAACATTAAGTTATTTTTGTTTTTTTTATGTGGAGGGAGGCGTCTGCAGTCTGTTATGGTTTTGTTAAGTATGGCAGCTGCTGTCTTTTCTAACTGGCTAAATGTTTGAGTGTTTGCCAGCTGAATTCCCCCAGAGTCACCATTTGCAGAGATCATAAAAGAGCTCGTCTTTATAGATATGGAGAGGGGCCCCCTCAGGCAACTACGGGGAGAACAGAGGAGAGAAGAAGGGGGCTTTCTACCATTTAGGAATTTCCATGTTTTGTCCTTTAAACAAGGAGCTGGCAAGTTGTGATTTAATGTTTTGTTATAGATGTTTGTTGGAGGAAAGGTGTATTTAAGCCAATATATATTATTGACACCAATAAGACAACAGATGACAAGATTAATATTTATTTTCATTAATATCCACGTCAGTGTAGTTGCAGCATTGAAACTAAAACTGACAGAAGGTTGACAATTACAAATTAAATGCTTTTTGTTTAGTTGTTTTTGTATTTTAATGAAGAAGATTTATGAATTGAAGTTTGAGTTTTCAGCCTCATTTCCGTGCCTTTTACTGGAATAGTTACCCACGGCCATAAAACAGCTCCTCTCAACAGGTTTTACGAGCAGAAACATTTAAGCCTTTTAAGGCTGTGACGTCCGCCCTCTGCCACACTGCTCCCTCACCACACACACACACACAGACTGTATCCAACAAAACCCAAGACATTTTTTATTTTGTCCAAACTAATACATAGTGTCAGTAGATAATTGCATGGTCACTTTATGTAATTTCTTTATTTGGGAGCCAGAATTCTGCTATCTTTTCTGTTTGATCTGTCACATCTAGTCTGGTGAAGTAGAAAAACAGCCCTTCTAGAAACAAGCCAAATATCCTTAAATATAATTAAATTGTCTTGTATTGAGCAAAAGAAATCTGCCAGTGGTGTAAGCCAATTGTGCTTGGCTAGAATTCTTAAAACTATCATAAAGCTCTAACCACTGAAAGACTGTAATGGGCCGTAAAACTTGAAAAAAATGGCAAAAATGTAAGCAAGCTGTGCTTATTACATTAAAACTCAGATAGACCTTAGAGAAAAAATAAGTATTTTGGTCCCTTTTTTTGAGCTGAATTTAAGAATTTGGAACTTTTTAATCTAATAATTAGAACAAACAAATCTTCAGAATCAGAATCAGAATCAGAAATACTTTAATAATAATAATAATAATAATTATTAAATAATAATCTTACAGTAAGACATAATTTCTTCAAACAGCATAATACAACTAAGTGACTTTGTCTCAAATGAAGGCACCAGAAGCATTTTTATTTTTATCATTTTTTATTAGAACAATGAAAAACTAAACCGCTGCTTCATTTACAACACTGGGACAAGACTACTTTCTCTTAAATTGAGAAGTTACACAAGTGGTCTTACTCTTAAAATATGGAAAATAGTTTTGTTCTTCCACTAGGATATTATGCCAACCAACTTACTGGTTGAATCTAGCTTAATATTAGCTGTCATATGTTATTAAGGAAAAGTTATATATATGTTAACACAAGATTACTTTTCTAAACATGCTTGACAAGATCACTTTTTTTTTTTAGACAAGAAATAAGACTAATTTTCCAGGAACAAGGCTTTTTTACTTAAATGAGATTTCCTGAACCTGTTGACATCTTGATTTGTTTCACTCTCTCATTTCCTCTATAGGCATGGCAGCTGAGGTTCAGCCACCTGATTGGCTATGGGGCCAAGTACTACTCTTACCTCATGTCCCGTGCCGTGGCCTCCATGGTGTGGAAACAGTGCTTCGTTCAGGATCCTTTAAGCAGGTGAGACAGCCGCTCAGGGTTACACTTTAATAACAAACTATCAAACTGAACGTGCAGGGAAATTGGTCCCTCCAATGACAAGGCTAATGTCCTCAACTATTTACATAAGACAAACTTGAAATTGAGCATTTGCTTATCCATTTCATATGATAAAGAACCGGTGCTGAATTTAATTATTTTATTCTTTTTCCTTGTACGCTCTGATAATGGAGTAATACTCTGTACATTTGTTTAAAATGTATCTCTTTTTTAAGACTTGTACTGTGTAAGGACCATCCCAAATGAGCAAGGGCTAAGTTCAACAATAAAATCCTCTTTAAAAAATCAATTGCCAAACTCCACTACCCTAAAATGGAAGAGTGGGGGGTGGAGAAAAAGTTCCATGTTGCTACTCTGTCATATGTTAGTTGATTTAGATAGAGGATAGTGACATTAAACTGGTAGCTCTCCTGGTAGAGCTGGTGCCCCGTGTATGAAGGCTGAGTTGTTGCTGCAGCAGCCAGGGGTTCGAGTCCAACCTGTGGCCCTTTGCTATGTCAACTCCTCCCTCACCCTTTCCTGTCAGTCTTGACCAATCTTCTCTTGATCTCTGTCAAATAAAAAGGCAAAACATTTTAAAAATAATAATAATAAGGGAAATTTGTTTCCGTGTGCACATGGTAAGTAGTAGTACATTTATATAGGAATGTTATAATAATAAGATTTTCAGGGGGAAACAGATAATGCAACAGCTTAACAGTTGTTTTATACAGCCATTCCCTGCTTATGCTGGCATTTTTTCATTATACCTTTGATCCTAGGTTGTAATTTAGCACACAATTAACCTAATCAGTAACTTAAAAAGCATTTTAATCTCTGAGGGAAAAACATCTCACATTATTAACATGTGATGACAGCATTGCTGACGATTTTTAGATTTATCGTTATGGATTTAATTTGAAAAACGTGCCATGTTAGAATAGATTTTAATGGCAGTGATGAAAATGAAAATTGTATTTCAAGTCAAAAGAATGAAAGTGTCAAACACTTGAACTACAAGGTCACGAGGTTTGACTTTATAGTTTAGAAAAGTAATTAATCACTTCATTCTGCTCCTGTACTTCAGTTTGGTAAGATATGTTTTGATTAAACCACAGTCTTAACTCTCTGTTTGGTAACTTGTAACCTTGTATTCATGGTGAGAGAGTTACACAAATGATGTAAAGGCACGCTATAAACCTGTTCTGCGTTTAGAGCCCGTCTTCCCTGGATACTGTTTAAGTCTCTGCCACCTGACATTGAACATGACATTAATATGAAACTCACGCCGACTTGGCAGGTGTCTGCTGTAATTCACAGACACCCACCAGGGTGACCATGACCAGACCTTACCTTATCACAAGTGTTTGCCCCTGGAAAAAAAACACACAAAGGCTTTGTTTTGAAAAACGAAGCCTCGACCGTATCTCCATCGAGTCGAGCCCTGCAGCGTTTTCCCTCTGCCTCTCATTTCTTTTCCTTTCACCGTCTTCATCTGTCCTTTTTTTCCCCCTTTCCCTTCTAAGATTGTTTTAGTTCCACCTGCAGTTGTCAGATCTCTGTTTCCTGTCACCTGTCTGTTGTGGACAGGCAGCTTAGGAGACTTGGCCCTGGGCTCCGAGTGGCAGCGGCAGTGGTGGAGGGTCTGAGGGGAGAGAATACAGGTGTCTGTAACCTTATCTCTTTCTCTTCTGTGTTTGTCTTTCTTTTTGTCAGGGACATGGGTGAGCGTTACCGCCGGGAGATGCTGGCCCATGGAGGAGCCAAGGAGCCCATGCTGATGGTGGAAGGTAACCACATCTCTCCCCCCCACCCCACACCACCACACACACACACACACACACACACACACACAACACACACACACGCACAAAAGACACACACACAGCAGACAAAATGCTGAAGAAGAGAGGCTTTTCACGCGGTGTGTTAACAATGGTCAAATGGAGGATACCAGCTTCAGTGTCTTAAAATGTTTGGCCACCTTTAGGCCTCGGGTCTCCCTCCACTTTTTTTTTTTGCGTCCAGTGAGCCTTGTTGGGGAAACCCCACATTCGTTTCCAGCAGTCGTTTTCCACTAGATACATTGGTAAACGCGCTATGGTACACCCTGCGCCCCGCAGAAATCATAGACTTAGCTCATTAACCATGA